TCTTGTGTATCTCCTAGTATCACTTGGAATCTTCTTCTGTGCTTTCTGGCTTCTGAAAGTTCAGCAGGCATTGCCCATATTCTTTCAGACATATATCTGCAGCCACAGGGGCTTGAAACCTGTTTTAAAAGAGTGCAATCCAAGTTATGTGAAAGTTGGGATTCTGCAGCCGCTAACACTGTCTATACTTTTGCTCTACTTCTGTGGGGCAAGTTGAGCTTTGTTTGGGGGGCAGAAAGTGAGAAATGCTTTTAAATTGTTTCTGGAAGTTAGTCTGGTCAAGAGAATCAAGCATAGGCTTGGATTCAAATGCTTCTAGATGAAATCCTCGCAGATTAAACGAAACTAAATCACAGGATAAAATTGAATAGCTTATGAGTGGCAGAGTGGGATACATTAGTGTTTTGTCTCTTGCAAAAATATTTCTGAAACAGCCTGTTACTTGTGCACACGATGGCATGGGACTGGTTTTCCTCGCCACGTTAATTGAGGGGAATCTCTATATTGTCCTATCGCAATTTGAGTCAATTTGGAAGTTGGTTTTTTACCCTGAATTCTGACTGGGCACGAAGAAGCTGGCAGAAAGACCCCCCCCCCCCGAGCGAGGCTTCCTGGTGCATTGAAATTGGCCCTTGTCTCCAGATAACTGCTCAAGGCAGAACGTCTGCTGCGTTCTCTCCCCCGATGAAAGGGCAAGACAGGCCCCTGGGAGCTCTCTGGCGGTTGCAAGAGCCTATTTAGAGGAAAGGGAGCTGGTGGTACACAGTTGCTTAGCAAACTGAGCCCAGCTCCCCAAAGACGTACTCTGGTACGTTTGATACCTATACCTTAGAGAAAACCATAGGCTGCGCATCTAAACCTTTTATCAAATATTCTGGCTTTCGTCCTTCTGTGCTTGCCAGTATTTCTGTTGGCTGTTTTGTTAATAAACTGCCTGTTTGAAATTGCAACGTCCCCGTTTTTCTGAAAGTGGAATGTCCTTCGTCTTTGCAAGATCCTGTTCTATTCCCCAGGTACCCTGGGTGCCTGAAAGGGCTGTGCGGCACTGATGCAACTTTTCAGACTATAAAACACCAAGCACACGGATTCCCTGGGAAACCCAGCCAGATGGGCGGGGTATAAATAATATATTATTATTATTATTATTATTATTATTATTATTATTATTATTATTATTATTATTATTATCTGCAACCAGAAATCATTTTTTAAAATACTTTATTTTAAATTTTTACAATATAACAACAATTTCCCATTCAAAATAACACCATATTCATTTGTTTGACTTCCCCCTCTCCCCGGTTTCCCAAAAAAATATTTTTTCCCCCTTGCATATAATTACTTTTTTCATTTATTTTCCAAATATTTTTAAACCTAGTTATAAAATTACTTCATCAATGTTACATCAATCCTGCTAATGTTTTAACATGCTTACAGTGTTCCTTAAAATAGTCTATATATTTTCCCCATTCTTGATTGAATTTCTTCTCGTCTTGATGCCTGATCTTCACGGTAAGTTTAGCCATTTCAGCATAGTCTATCATTTTCCTTATCCATTCTTCTTTCATTGGGACCTCTCCTTTCCATTTCTGGGCAAATAATATTCTAGCGGTTGTACTAGCATACATAAACAATCTCCTTAGTTTCCTTGGTAATTCATCACCTATTATTCCAAGAAAAAAGGCTTCTGGTTTTTTGATAAACATTATCTTATTATATATATATATTTTAAAAAATCATTATATATCATTTCCCAGTAGCCCTTTGCTTTTTTGCACATTCAGTGGACCCCCCTGCTTAGGGTTGCCAGTATTGAGTCCTGCTGGATTTGAGTTTGTTGGTTCCTCTGGTCACCTCTCTCTCTTTCATCATGGATGGTAGCACATATTATGGCTGTATGCTCTGTACTGTTTTAGTAGTACGTTTGCTACAGGTTTGTCATGGCCTTTGGCTAAAACAGTAAACTTACGAACTGAACTGAACAAAGGTATACATGGAATCTCCTTGAGGTTGGGGAGCAGGAATCATTAGCAGATCTCCACACTGTTGGTGATTCTGATGAGTCAGTGGATCTTGGCATCCCTTATCCAGGACTGGAGGTCACCACACTGCCTGGCTCTCAAGACATCCCCCCTTCCCTGCTTTCCATAGCGCCATAGGAGCAGAGGAGATGGTGCCCCTGGCAGGAGGAGCAGAGTTGATACTGAAGGGCCTGACTAGCTGAAGGGGGGACTGTTCCAAAGGGCATAGAAACACTTGTCCCGATTGTGGACCTGATTGAGACCCAGGGAGGGGCGGAGCCTCCTCCTCCTCTTGTATAAAATCCCAAGGTCTAAGCTGCTCCATTGCTAAAGCAACATCTCCCTTAGAGCTCCAAGCAACCTGGACCAGGGGAAGGGGCAGCATCTCAAAGTACTGAGTTCTGTCAACACTGGTTTATGCACACTGTTTCTTCACTTCTGTGCTTATAAGTGCCCATAATAAAAACTACATGCATGCATGCATACGTACATACATACATACATAATTTCGTTGAAATTTCGTTCCACAGTTGAAACCATGCTCAAAGCAACTTACAAAATGGGGAAAAAAATTCATAACTACAGCATCCTGAAGCTGAGGCTCCAATACTTTGGCCACCTCATGAGAAGAGAAGACTCCCTGGAAAAGACCCTGATGTTGGGAAAGATGGAGGGCACAAGGAGAAGGGGACGAGAGAGGACGGGATGGTGGGACAGTGCTCTCAAAGCTACCAGCATGAGTTTGACCAAACTGCAGGAGGCAGTGGAAGACAGGAGGGCCTGGCATGATCTGGTCCAGGGGGTCACGAAGAGGCGGACACGACTAAACGACTAAGCAACAACAGCATAGCAGAAATAGATATAAATAAAACATTAAAAATACACAACTAGGCTGAACAATTTCCACACAAAGCACAACAAAATCTAAAACCGACAAGAAACCAACAGCAACAACTCCTCAGCAACAAGACCCCACCCAAAAGCCTCAGTTTTTCTGGCTGGAGTCAGCCAGGCCCCTCCCTCCAAGGCCAGTTCCTTTCATTCTCGGCTGGGAATTCTCCCTCTTAACTCCTCCTTTTTCATTGTATTGTTTGTGTTGTAAGACACACAACACTGTCTTCAGGCTGCTAAATATTATACAGTCAAACCTCGGTTGTCGAATGTAATCCATTCCGGCAGCCCGTTCAGCTTCCGAAACGTTTGACAGCCAAGGCGTAGCTTCCGATTGGCTGCAGGAGCTTCCTGTACTCATGCAGAAGCCGTGTTGGGCAACCGGCTTCCGAAAAACATTCAGAAACCGGAACACTTCCGGGTTTTTGGCACTAGGGAGCCGAAACATTCCAAAACGGAAGAGTTTGGGAACTGAGGTTTGACTGTACTTGCCTCAGTTTCAAAGCTGCACCTGGGCAGCTTAGTTCTGGCTCTGTGGCGTGGAGGAAAGTGGACTTTGCACAAGTGCTGATGCTAAAAGTAGTTCTCAGCCCTGAATCTTCGTTCTGTTTGAAGGCTTTGCCTTGAATAGCGTAACTGCTCATTAAATTTGGCCATCCCATTTTAGAGAAGAGGTGTGTTCTCTCTCTCTCTCTCTCTCTCTCTCTCTCTGTGTGTGTGTGTGTGTGTGTGTGTGCAGGCAACAAGTAAGGAAAACAGAAATCTTTCTTAAAAAACCCAAGATTTGACTTGTAAAATTCAGCCCTGTAATCTTAATTGTTTGAAGGATTTTGCTGTTCATTATTAAAGCATTTATTAAATTTATATTCCCACCCTTCCATCTGGAGGAATTGTTTGTTGTTGTAATATTGTGTGTATAGTATGATTTGATCAGTTGAAAGGCGGTGTATAATTTTCAGTGAATTAGTGCAGACTTCGAAGCAGCATCTATGGACAAGGACCCAAGCCTGTCTCTAGCATAATTCAGTTAAGTCTTCCCTGGGGCTGCCCAAAAAGATGAGAAGCAAAACAGCTCTTGCACCAAGCACTCCAGTGTGCCTCCCTCTCGTTCCTGCTTGGGTGTGTTTACCAGATTTCTTCTTAATCTGTGAGCGAGGCTGCTGCTCCAAGGAGGCCCTCTCTCTTTCTTGCATGGTGGCTCTTAACTCCATTGAGGTTTATGAGACTAAGAAATAGGAAGTGGAACTTTATCACCCCCTCTTAATCCCCCTGGAATGTTTACATTCTGATGCCAAACTCAGAATTTCTGTTCCAAAGTAGTAATTGTCTCTCGAGCTGCCAGTGAGCAACAGCTCCTGGAGTTGCTCAGAATGTATCAACAGATGTGATAATTCTGTCGTAGAATGTGAAAAGTTTAAGTTCTTTATCTTTGCAGGGTTGATAAGGTACTTAAGTTTTACGGTAGCCTTTGGAAGCTGCTGGCAGATGTTAGCATTAGTGTGCTATTCCCGTTATCTGTCACGTCTTCTGCATCTCACTTCATTTATTACTGTGGCCTGACGGTCAGAGCACTGACTCCTCTGCCAAGGCAGCTGGGCTGCAGAGGAGCTGTGGTCCTCATCACTTGCGGTGCGGTTCATTTCCCCCTTTCCCCTGGCAGCGAGAGGCAAAGGCATTCTTGTAGTTTCCTCGTCCACCATTATGGTTTTAGCAGAATTCTTGGAAGAGTTTTTAAAATAATCCAGCTGACCTCAAAACCACAAAACTCCATTAAAGTGATCTTGCAGCACACAGCAGTGGCAGCCCTTGTTTTTGTGGGGTTGGCGTTTCCCTGGAAGATGCATTAGTGGTGGGAAGAACTGGGTTTATTCATCTCTCCCTGCCACAGTTGATCTTGCACCAGCAGACCTTCCAGGGAACAGAGAGAGCAGTGACGGTGCCAGAGCCCTGGCAAAGGAGCCTCTGTGTTGCACAAGCACCATAGCAGTTTTATATTTGTTGAGGTCACTCTGCAAAGTGAAACAAGTTTTTCTTAAAATGTTTTGAAAAACTTAATCCTGTGCTTTTCTTTTTCTCCTTTCTTTTTAGTTATCTTCCGTGGTTTGAAGTCTTCTATAAACTGCTCAACATCTTGGCAGACTATACAGCGAAGGGCCAGGTAACTGTGGAGAATTGTGTGACTGGCTGGGTGAGAGAACCTTTAAAACATTGTTTAAGGCCAAACCTGAGGCTCTGTTCAAATGTGATGCTTTATATCTTGGGCTCACTCACACAGGAAATGGCCATATCTTGAAAACTATAGGTAGTAACAAAATCACACTTCCTGCTTCCTGAGCAAAGAAGACTAAAATTTTGCCCAGTTCATCAACCTCTCTTTATGCTTTTCCAGCTTATATACAAACATGGGGGTTTCTCATAGGAGCTTCATATCTGAATTGTCCTGAGAATGCTCTTGTAGGTTTCTCAGAATTTTGCACAACCTATTTGTAGTAGGCAGCATATGTGGCTTCTGGAATTACATACCTTATTTTGCATTGAAATTGATCCCAACCCCAAATCTGCAGTGTAAATCCATTCTTCAAACAGATCCCTTGCATTTGGAAGCCCTTAGTGGCCCCAGCCCCAGGCTGCACTGTGTGCCTGTATCTCAGCTTCTAACACTGCAAAGTGCACTAAAATTTTTAGTAAAATAACTGCCATTGTAATAAGTGGGTGGGACTGTAAATTGCAAAAATTCCAGCCAGGGGGTTGAGACACATTTCAGCAACCTTTCTCACAGTCTCTGCTATAGGAAGTAGGTTTTATTATTTCCCCAAATGCAAAATAAACTTTCCTCCTACATGAAAGAAACATTGTCTTTGCACCAAAAAAAATTACAGTTGAAGGACATGCAGTTGAGGTGGAAGCTGGATTTACCACCAGACATTGCGGATTTCAAAAGTTAGGATGCCAAGCCTGTCCTTATCTCCTTGGGTTTGCCCTCATTCTGTTTCTCAGCTTGTGTATATATGAGAGAGACAAACAGGCTGACTGTCATCTGGTACGCAGGCTGAGACCCTCTCTGCCCATGGACTGTCTCGCCAGAGTGGTACATGCTCTGGTTATCTCCCGCTTGCCTTTGAAGGTGACTTGGAGACTACAACTAATCCAGAATGCGGCAGCTAGACTGGTGACTGGGGGCGGCCGCCGAGACCATATAACACTGGTCCTGAAAGACCTACATTGGCTCCCAGGATGTTTCTGAGCACAATTCAGAGTGTTGGTGCTGACCTTGAAGGCCCTAAATGGCCTTGGCTCAGTATACCTGAAGGAATGTCTCCATCTGTTGTCCAGTCCAGACATGGAGGCCCAGATCCAAGAGCCTTCTGGTGGTTCCCTCACTGCGAGAAGTGAGTTACAGGGAACCAGGCAGTTGGCCTTCTTGGCAACAGTGGCGCTCTCCCTGTGGAACACTCTCCCATCAGATAGATGCCCAGGAAATAAAGAATTAAACCACTTTTAGAAAACATCTGAAGGCAGCCCTATATCAGGAGGTTTTTAACGTTTGATGTTTTACTGGGCTTAATGTTTGAATTTGTTGGAAGCCGCCCATAGTAGCTGGGGCAGCCCAGTCAGATGGGTGGCAGATCAATCAATCAATCAATCAATCAATCAATCAATCTGTGTTAACAAAAACGCTTGTTTTAGAAATCACCCCCTACATTTATTTTTGTTCTAGGACAGCCAGTGGTATGAACTTCTAGAAATGCTTTATAAACTACCCATCCCTGAGCCTGGCTCATCTGTTCATCTCAGTGTGGTAAGTATCACAGCTAATACATTTCCATGGAGTCATTCCTGCTCTGGAACTCCCTGCCTGTGGACATTAGACAGGTGTGCCTTTACTGTACTGCTTCACATGCTGATATTTTTCTTTTCAGCAGAACTGCCCAGATACATGATTTAGTTACATTTGTTTTACACTTTTATTGATTTTATCTTGGTTTTGAATGCTGGTTCTTTGTACTTATTTTTAATTGGATTGTGGATTTTAGGCATGTTTTATATCTCATTGGACTTGTACACCACTTGGATAATTGAGCAAGCAGTTCATATATATATACACCCAGCTAAAACACCTACACTCCCAAACAATGAAACTCATGACAAAAAACCAACAACCAAAACCCACCCAGGAAAACAGGCCCCAGAACAAATAGCAGCAGCCCCCAAAACAAATAGAGCAAAAAACCCTTCAATTTCAAAATGAAAATGGGGCAGGGGGCCTTAGTGGATGACCTTGGTCTCTGGGCAGCGCAGTGCACATGTTAAGGACTCCAGGTCTGGTAATAGCTAGAAATAATAATAAATGGCCCACCCTTCTTCACGGAGCAGTAATGGTAACAGCACTACAAGATGGCATTGTTATCAGGCCTCTTCTCCATTAAATTGTATAACACTGAATCACTTCGAAGTCCATCTTAATGAGGACAATTTAGGTGAGTTGTTATGTGTCTTTACTGGAGCTTTGAGTGGACTATGTCTGTCCTCTCTGCACCGATTATTAGCTTGGGAAGTTAATAATCTCTGCCACTTGGCAAAGAACTAACCTTACTCTCTTCTCCCCCTCCGCCCACCCCAGTTTCCACCCTGAGCACTGCTTTGCTCAGTCCGCGAGCACTAGCCACATAGGTGCCCAGAGGGTGTGTGGGGCATCTCAGTCACATCCCTGCTCAGGGCATCTCTCTGATGCAGAGGACAGGCCACCTTGCAGGTGTGTTTTGGTCATTGCTCCTGACCTCCCTTTGCCCTGGACATTTCATGAGCGGTGGAGCAGGGAAAGACTGTCAAAGCAGAGCTCAGAGGCTGTGCTTGTTTCAGGCTCTGCCTGCCTGTTCCCAGACTCTTACAAATCCATGCTTATTTCGCACCATCCGTTTCCATTCCTACTGCTCTCTCGCTCTCTCTCTTTTCCTGGCCTCCTCCCCCCTTCCAGCCAAATTAATATAGTGACAGGTTTGGAGAGTGAAGGCTGCGTTTGTACCTGTTTCTTCATCTCTCACGAGCAAAGCCTCTTCAGCTTCGGAGTATTTCAGCCCATATGCTGTTTGCAAGGTGCTGAAATGTCAGATAAACAACAGATATAGGGCAAACTCTGAGAATCCTCATAAAAGCACAGTACAGAATTAAAATAACATCAGTATCGTTGCAAAGAAGCTTGATGTGAGGCTTCTATTTAGCAGTAGTTACTCCACGCTACAAGGAATTGCAGTTCCATGTCCAGAATATATAAATCTCCATCTGTTTGTTCCTTATGCAAAACAAAACAAAACAAAAAAAGCACGAAGAGCGGTGGAAGCCCTGGAGCTCCCGCCAAGGAAATCAGCCCTGCATCCCCAGCTTTCGCTGTTCCACCAGATGCTGCTAGTGCTGCTTAAAGTTTGTCCATAGCCACCTTAAGAACCACAAAATGTTGTTGCATGTTGCTTAGCTTTGCAGTTTACACCTGAATAGAACAGCTGGTTCTTCATATGCCCAGCATTTCCCCTCCCTCTTCCTGAGCTTGCTTTGCCACACGAAACGGAAGCTGTTCTGTGCGAGAGGTGAAACCTCCTCAGATTCTCTTCGCCAGCTTTGCAGCAGTGGCTGCAAATGTGCCTGTGGCACAAATGCTGGAAATAAGTTCTGAAATAAATTAAGCATCATGCCCCATTTGTGCGGCAAAGATATTGACTGGCAGCAAATTGGTTTCTTGGGCAGCTGCTGGCAGTTGTACCACAGGGGCTTTGGGATGTTTCTGTTTTGTATGACTAGGTTTACCTTTTTGTTTTTTAATGTTATATAAATGATGTAAGTTCTAAACTGCATTTAAAGCAGAATAAGATGTTTTAAATAAATGCAAAATATATGGTGCAAACAAACAGACAAATAAACCCTTTTTTACTCCCCCCCCCCCGCTCCCGACTTTTAGCACTCTTACTTTACTGTGCCTGACAACAGAGAACTTCCCAGCATACCTGAAAATGTGAGTAATACTCTCTGGTGGTCACATAATGCAGATCCCACATGTTTGTGGTGGTGGTGGGGGGGAGAGTCAGGTGAACCAAAGAGACAAGAAAGTGTCAACTTGGATATATTTTCTCTGCCGCTTGTAAATTGTGAACACACTCAAATACTGCTCAGAGATTTTTGAAATACTAAGCAACATATAAATGCTGTGTGTGTGTGTGTGTGTGTGTGCGCGTGTGTGCATATATACACATTAGGGTGTGTGTGTGGGGAGAACACAGTCAGTATGGAGATCTTGTGCTTTCTGTTTGAACAGCCAGCTTCTCCAAAGACAGAAACTTTCCCTTGCTTCTGCTGCCATTGGCAGGGTAACTTACCCTGCGCCTTGTCAGGGGTCACTCCACCAAAAACATGACTGCTACTATTCTGCTGTTTCCTGAACTGAGTAAGGCAGCCACATGGTTTGACCTACCAACGTTTGTGAAACGGTGCATATTGGACATTGGATGCAACTTTTGGGAAACTTGCTTTCAGTTCCCCTTCTTCCTTGGGATCATTAGTTCCAGGAACATCAACTTGCTAATCTTTTCCAAGTAGGTTTTTGTACAGAGACCGTAAAGAACACCAGATTCCTTACTTGGAAGAGATGTTTGTGAGATTGCGAGTCAGATGGTTCAGTCTGCCCTCCTTTCTCTAGAGCACAGCTTTGCAAACTTTTCAAGCTGAAGACACACTTTTTGGACATTCATCATTCACGACACAGCAATTCAGTTTTGCATCATTTCATGACACAATAATTCAGTTTTACTAGCAAACTGGAGGTTAAACTAACCCTTTCCAGCCCCAGAAGGAGTGTGGGGACCGTTTGTGCGACACACCTACACACTGCAGCCGACACACTAATGTGTTGCGACACACAGTTTGGAAAGCTCTGCTCTAGAGAGATGTTCCTTGCAGCAGTCATAGTTTGGTGGGGAAGATGATCGGGGGCAGCCAGGGGGCCACACATGACAGGAACACTGGCCTCATGTGGCCTTCAGGTTGCCCACTCCTGTCATAAAACATGTGAGTGGGAAGGTGCTTTCCCTGCCCCTTGAAGCATGCTCAGAAGAGTAAGCTTCTTCCCTGGGCTTCAGTGGTAAAGGGGAGGGGCTGTAGCTGAATATTAGAGCACCTGATTTGCAGGTAATAGGTGCCACATTCATTCCCTCCATCTCAGGGTATGGCTAGGAAACATGCCTGTCTGAGACCCCAGAGAGGACTGCTAAAAAATAAAATAAAACCTGTTGCAGGCAAGTAACCTGTTCTTCTTTCCACTGAGAGGAACATCCTTGAGTGTGCTAGGTTTAGTTTGCAGGTGGGTAAATTGAGAAGCACACCAAAGAAGCCACAGCAAGGTACGGGAATCCCTCCAACCTCTTGTTTAGGTTCCTGTGTCTCAATAGCACATGTTTGTGCACACATCCACATGCGCACGGACACATGTGTTGGTTTTTAGAAATATACAGGCTTCTCCCTGCTTCACCAGTGCCTTTTCTGTGTGCCAGCATTTGTTGGCAAGAATTCCAACACATGAGTCAACTTCCCATAACATTTGAGCAGTAGACATTCAGAATGCTTATGAATCAAAGGATGCTATAAAACCCAACGGCTCTAGGCCAGGAAGACTTGGAAAGGATTTTAAAACTGCATGTTCAGCCTGTGGGGAGGGTGCAACTTTTAGCGCTTGAAGACCTATTCATTTAAAGTGTGCGCTTTCGGGGTGGAGAAGGCAGGGCGTGGGGAGAGGGCTGGAGAATGAATACAACAGATTTGGGTGGTGTCTATGATGTTGTCATTGAGGGGTGTCCAAATAAGTTGCTTTAAGGATGTTGAAGGCCCACTAGGGAAGAACAACAGAACAATGAGAGTGATAAAAGCACAGCCCCATAAACTTTTATTTGGCTTTGCACGTGTGGGTCTCGGAGCAAAGAGAAGTAAATGCAAAACGAATGCAGAGGCTGGCTGCTGCTTCCTTGTTGTTCTGCTAGTTCATCCTCCATATTCATCACTTTCACACACTGCAGCCTCCCCAGGATTGTCTCGTCTTGTTTGCCTGATGCTCACTGTGCCTCCGCCTTGTACAGCACCTAGCGCACAACTGAGATACAAAGACATTCAGCAGCATTTTGTGCTAGTAAATCTTTGCTAATATTTCCAGAGAACTCTGTGCCAACAGTTATAAGGCCAGGAAATCTAAGTCATGTCACCTAGGTCCCTTTGAGCAAAGTTGCCGATTTTGCAGCTTTTGTAGTCCTGGAGAGATGCAAGGCATGAAACAGAAGAATGGAGATGTCCTGTTAGCGATTCATTACGTCCCATGTTACTTAATAATCTGTATGCCAACCTTTCATGCTTAGTTACAGATCAGATTTACAGTGCATTTTAGATCTGATCGTCAACTAGGAACCAAATCTGCAGTTTTGACTAGGCTTAACTGCAGCTTAGTCGGCTTTATTCCTGCTGAATAAAGCTGAGTAATAGCAAAAGCCTATGTTGGCTGCTCAACTGCTTCAAGCATAATGCCTTTGCTTTGCTTTGGAAATAGGGTTAGGGCTTTACCTTCTCTCACAGCAGTTTAGTTTTCCATTTGCCCTGTTGGAATCCCCTGTCTCTTGGGGACACCTGTCCTTCGGAGCCTCATGTGTGGGCCCTTTCTTTCCAGAACCCTTTCTGCTCTGTTCCATCCTTTCCCTCTTGGGGGTGTGGGGAAAGAGAGCCCCTATGTGTGTCAAACTGGCACAGGCGATTTGGGCAGCCCACCTTGGGTTGGCACCCACTGCTGCTGCTGCTGCTGCTGCTAAAAGCAAAAGCATCTTAAAGAGTGCCTGAGTCTCTTGGTTCCCTCTTGGCCGTCACTGGGCCCTCAGCACTTTCTGGCTAATCCTCAGTCTTTCAGGAGTGGCAGCTCTTTATCAAGGAGAAATGAACTCCGATGAAAAAGCTCCTGCGTGTTACTACATCAGTGTCTCATAGAACTGCTGTCACGCTCAGACAATTTTTACAAAGTCCCAAAAGCTTATCAAATCCCCATTAAACTGTCAACCTCCTTTTTGCTGTTTTGCCTTCTGTGAACAACTTCTTTGACCGTTCTGGCTCTGTCTTGGTGCAGCTCGTTCAGCAAATGCAAAAGTGCTCAGCACCCCTTTTTTGCTGGCATGCCCAATTCCTGTTGCTATGGGTGAGGCTTGGCCTGAATCGTACCTCCAGATCAACCTGCCGTTACATATTGGACTATCTCTAAAGGAGTGCAGGTGGCCCTGCCATGGCGCAAGTTAGAGTGGGAGACAATCAGTGGCAAAGCAGGAGACAGATCTGGGATGCAGTCCCCTGGGGAGTATAAGAATACCCCCCCTCCTGTCAAATCCTTAAACTCTGCCCTTTTGAGTTTGATTGATGATGTCGCCTGAAGACCTACCCTAGTAAACCAATGACATCACTGGAAGTTGGGATCCAGGAAGTGGAAGGCACAGGACCCTCCTTCTATGACCACATAACCCCTTGAGTCCAATGAGGTGGGGGTTTATTCCTCTAAGCAAAAATGGGGTATCTGATTGGCTTTTCTCGCTTCGTGCTCCTGTGCACCTCCTGTTACTCTCAGCTTTCGAGTGGGGCTTGTGTAGGACAACTTCCTAGTGGGTTACATATCTCATGTTACTTGGCGGGAGGTGCTGTGCTTTGAATCTTCCATCACCAGCACCACAGTGCCTTAGGCAGGCCTGCAGTGACATCCCCACGCTCTGGGTTTTTGTTGTTGTCGCTGTCGCTGCCGTCACTGTGCCCTCAGCAACAGCAGCTTCCAAACGGCTTCTGTTTAGACACAAACATCTTGCTAATCAGCACAGATGGGATAAGAACATTTTTTGGGGGGCGGCGCGAGGGGGGGAACGTGCCAGTTGAAACGTTTTTTTGACAAAAATCTGCTTTCTCTTCTTCTCCCTCCCCCATTCCCACCTGGATGTGATAGAACCTTTCTCACTTCAAGCTGTCTAATAAGGCCTGAGTGGTGCTGGTATAGTGACACGGCCTTTGTTAACCAATGTGTGTTTGTTGTTGCATGTGATTTTTTTTTTTTAAGCACAATGGTTCTCTACAAACCCCCATGCTTAATTTTTGGTCTGTAGCTTTTCCTTTGTATTCGAACAACAAGCTGTGGAACATATTTCAGCACAGTATGAAGCTCCTTGGCAAACTTCTCAGGCCAAGTATTGGGGATTTTAGAGCTATCTTTGGATCTGTCAAAAGTGCTAATGGGCTCTGCAAGCTTCTTCATGATTCTAAATCCTATTTGCTCTTTGTTTTTTTGGGGGGGGCCTGCGTGTGTGTTGCCTTGTTTATTTCATTTTGTAAAGGGTTAAGGTCTCAATTGAATTCATAATGAGCGTAAATGTGCTTTTATTAATACACTTGCTTGTGATTGCTCTTTACCTTTATAGCAGTGTAAAAAAAAAAAAAGACCTGCTTGCTGAGCTCTTGAGCAGGTGATTCATCTTGGCTTGGTGGCCATCCACCCAGCTGTTATTCCTGATCACTCTATTATGAAGCTGCTGCTTCTGTTGCTGCTTTGAAACCCAGCAGCCTGGTACAAATCAGCACAGTTTTGCACAGTCAGTGGAGTGATGCCTGTACCTGGCACCTGTGCTCCACTCTTGGATTGGGAAGTCTCAGCAAGAAGAGTCAGAGGACATTAGAATCAGTATCTTTGGCTAACCTTGAAGCCTTGTTTGGAATTTCTAGGGAGAGCTGCTTGCAGGCAGTATAGACAAACCTGGTGGGTTCGTTAAGACATCCCCACCCTCCATGTCCTGGGGTTGTTCTGGATAAGTCTAAACAAGCCCTCAGTTGCAAACCCCGGGCTGCTTGTCAGCAACTGTTCTTGTGTCCCCCCATTCCCCAGATGTTTCCACAGCTGCTTCAGGAGGTAGTTAACTTACTGCTATCTCCTTTAAAAAACATATTCATAAAGTTCTTCCTTCTTCCTTCCTAGAGAAATCTGACGGAGTATTTTGTAGCTGTAGATGTGAACAACATGCTGCACCTCTACGCCAGTATGCTGTATGAACGACGCATCCTTATTTGCTGCAGTAAACTGAGCACTGTAAGTTGACACTGAGGCGCTTGCTTCCTTTGGGTCTGCCGGGGAAGTCTCTCTCGGGGCACTCTGCAGGAACCCTTAGCAGTCTGGTAGGCTGGTCAACCTCCATAACTTTCACGGACCATTTCACACCCTCTGACTGGACTCCTGGGGATGGGTTAGGTGATTTGAGTAAAAGACACAGTGCCCCCCCCCAAAAAAACCTGTCTGAAAACCAATTGTTTGGTTTTGGACATACAGTCATACCTCGTGTTGCGTTTGCTACATGATACGTCTTTTCAGGTTGCGTCCTACGGCGACCCGGAAGTAGTGGAAAAGGTTACTTCCGGGTTTCACCGCTTGTGCATGCACAGACGTGCAAAATGACGTCACGCGCATGCACAGAAGCGGCGAATCGCAACCCGCACAGATGCGGGTTGCGTTCTGCTGGTGTTGCGAACGAGACTTGGGAACTGATCCTGTTCACAACCAGAGGTACCACTGTATATATTTATGTTAATGTGTGTGCAGCACACTAAAGTCGTAAAGGAATTACTTTCATGTGATTTCCAGAGCAGCTCCTTTGGTGTACTAACAGTAAAAAATCCTCTGCATCATATTGAGATCAGTTGAAGCAGAGTGGTCTTTTTCCTTGAATAGTTAATTCACAAAGCTTTTGTCTCCCGACTCTACCTATCGCCAGCTCTGGCTCCATCTACTACCAGCATTCCCACATCCTGCCTGATAAATTGCCCCTAGGGTAATTCCTGGAGTAGGAATGGGAACTAGAGAGAAGGTTATTTCTTGAGGTGGGGGGTTGATTGGCCAGAGGCTTGTAGTGCCGTGGAGAGATTGTTGGGCCGGCCACACTTCTGGGTGTGTGGGATGAATTGGGATAACCTCTGATGCACACTTCCTGGGGTGAAAGGCGAGCTACATGTGTGCTGCAGTTTTATTTATTTTAAAATAGTAATTATCTCTGCATCAGAACTTGGGCTGAGATGGCTGCCCTCTCCACCTTATGTGCTCCTGGCAAGTATGTTCCCTGCCTCAGGCTGAATGCCCCACGTGTGTTTGCTGCCAGCAGTGCCTGAAAATGTGCCTGGCTTTGTGTGTGCCTTAATGGCAACCTTAGCAGCATATAGGAGCTTGACAAAAACTCTGAGAGTGTAGCAGGTCATCACTGAGGCTTCTTAGCCTTTGAAGTACAAAGTTTTTCCTCTCAGTGCAGGTGTGTTATAATAACATTTCTTCAGTATTAGCAACAATGGGCTGTTTTGTGCCATCTGCCTCCATCTTTCTATGTATGTTTGTGTGTGTGTATGTGTATATGAAAAAATAATTGATAAACGATGGCTTTCAGGTGGCTCTTCTCGTGACCTTCTCTTGATGAACTCTGATGGTGGCTGATAAGAACTGCATTTTTCGCAATTTTGTTTGATAAGAATGCAGGCTTAATGCTACTTAGGGTCCATCAAGCACCTGAGAGATGAAAGCTGTAGTGCACTCAAAGGACCATCCACTCTAGAAATGGCCCTACATCATTACTCGAAAACAACAACACAAAACACCCCAGTTTGATATGGTTCAAAAGTTTAGATCTGTGTTTTTCAAGGTTTTAACAGTCAATAAGCTTGTGCATTTTTTTTATTAACACCCCCCCCCCAAAGTTTTCCTTGCTGTTCACTGTGTAAATGGATATTGATTGTGGGTTTGTATTGTTGGTTTTAATTCCATGGTAAATGCTGAATAGCATGGACTTCAATTGCAGAAGGGTGTTTTCTGAAGTTCTTGTTTCCTTGCTTGCCAGTGTTGCTGTTATTCTGGTATCTAAGTGACTCTCTACTCACAGAGTCTGATCTTGATTGTATGATATTGCAACAGATGTCCCAAGAAACATGTGTTGGCTAAAGGGGAAACAAGCTACACTGAAGTTCCTAAAGAAAGGAAGGCCCTGTTGATAGAAAAGTTGAAGGGAACGAATAATTGTTAAGGCCCAACACCACATAATATGAACTCCGTGCCCAAATTCTAACAAGTTCTGGTGACAAGCAAGCCAGTTGGAAGGTTTAACCTCTGTATTCTGATGTAAGCTGCCCAGAGTAGCTGGGGCAGCCCAGTCAGATGGACGGGATAAAAAACAGCAACAAACTCCAGCCATTATTGTGTGCTCTGTAGCTCCTCCACTTTGAGTTTTATACCTTTCATACATGTGGCTGAATAGAAAACACATTATTATGAAACAGGAATAGAGACATGATTTGTAATGGATATATTAATATAGGCTTATCCTTGCCTTTTTCTAAAGAAACTTGTTCACAGGCTGGGGTGCAGTTTTATCTTTCCCTTCTATTTTCCCTTTCAAGATATTTACAAACCCCTCATTGGTGGGGCAGCTTTTCCTGTATTTTCCCAACTTCTATGCCTCAGAAAAGATAAGAGTGATGGTTCTGTAAGACTGGCTTGGATATACTGTGACTTTCCTGCAAGTCAGCACTGTAAACATCAGCTGTGTTATTTTGTCCTCTGCGGAAGCTAGGATGCTGCCACCAGAAAGTGACCGAGCCCAGAGAACTCTCACATATTCCAGGAGTCCTGGCAGTGACTTGCTGTCGTTTCTTCATTCTCACGATCACATACCTGTCCTACATTGGGGAGGAATTTTCCTGGAGATGAGAGAGGGAAAGGCTTAGTTAAGGTGAAGATACGGTCTTTGTGGTCCTTTGAAATTGTCTGGTTTATAAAGCCCTATCAGTCTGAGAAAGTGAAGCAAGGTTTTGGGTTGTGGAGAACAGAGAGTGACTGAATTAACACTTAATATGGGCCAAACCTCTAGAAGATGACTGCTATTAGGTTTTTTCCTTCATGATGTCTGTGAGTTGCATTTTTCTCTTGAAAGAGGCGCGTAGAACCCAGCAGTTGTGATTTGGCCTGAATGTTCACCAAATAGACTTTGACCTCAGTAGATCCCTCCTGTTACATTCTCTACAAATATAAGCCAGTGAATTTAGTAGAAGGCTATTGGAACTCAAGAGCACTTCCAGATAGAAGTCTTGGGTTTTTTATAAAACCATATACTTCTATTCAGAGTCTCCCCCCTCCCCCCCCCCAGCCAGAACTCACCGGAACTCAATTCCGGCAGGTGCCATTGCCATTATAAGAGAACACGGAAAGGTGTTCATGGCGAGTTATGGCACCTCTTTTTCTCTTTTATAAAAAATACCAGAGCTGTTTACAATTGCACATAAAACCATACAGTGAAAACCATATTAAAAGGTTAAAATCAGAAAACTATTGTGGAAAGAACCCAAAGGTTTTGAGCAGACGTTTAAAAGTAGGAACAGAAGGCGTCTCCTGAGCATCTATTGGCAGCGCGTTCCAGAGGGCTGGGCCAATGGGCACTGGGCTCAGTTTCTTTTTGTCAAATGAACCTTCTTGAGCAGTGCTCCTGCATGTGATCTGAGTGATCAAACTGGGAAATACGGGTTCAGGCACCCCCACCCCCAGCAATCACTGGAGGCTGAACCATGGGAGCTGATCTCATTTTCAACCTGCTGAAATCCTGCAGCTTTTACAGAATCTCTCATTACTTGAGTTATCTTCTTATTAGCAGCGTGTTTTCTGTGCAGCAGCCACTGATGAGAGATGAATATGGTTGATGAGTTATATCTTTTCTTTTTGTTTTTTGGTGTTGGTGGGTCACTGTCGTCCTAGCCACCTGAGTCCCATGTTCCCTGGGGGAGGGGAGCCCTGGCCACAATGAAGTGTACTCCTCTACTTGCCCCCCCCTTCCCTCCTTTGAGATACTTGCTGACTCTGGATAGCAGATCAGTTACTTTACAGGCTGCCCCTTATCAATCAGCTTCCAAAATTTCCCTGGTGCTCCACTGTTGCTCCCTCAAGTAGCACTACGGGTGTGACGGTATTCACATTAAACTGAGGCCACACGGGTTATGAAACAAGAAATGGGTTTGCTAAGATGGAAAGCATGCATATGTTACAAAGAAAGAAATGCAATTTCCCCAAATTACAGAAACCCAAAATATTCCCTTTGGGGTTAAAAACAACCCAAAACTGAATAAAAGCAATCTGCTTCCCTCAGATGAGGAATGGGTAGTTCTGTGCATCAGTAATGCTCTGGGTGCCTTTGTCTTGATGCCTAGAGCCTTGTGGCACCTGCTAGGACTCCCTATACTCTCCCTACAGAGATATGCATCCCATACTATATGCAGGTAAAATTGTTCATTCCCGTGTTTTTTCACAGCAACCGTTCTTATCACGCAAGAATGTAAGGCATCTGCTCATGAGTAGCCAGTCGGGGGATCCACTCTTCATGTGTGTGTCGAAGTGGAGAGTTGCAGCCACAGCTTCTCCAACAAATGGCTTCATTACAGCTGCTGTCATTACAGATTTCATGTTGCCGGGTAACTGGAGGCAATTAAATCATTGTCCATTGAGCAAGAACTCTAGAAAAGCAAGCTTCTCTAAATGTCACTTTCACTTTTGCGAAGAGGCCCACTGTTTGGAAACGGCTGTATTCTCAGAGAGTTCCAGCTCAGGATTGTTAACACACTTGCTTTAGTACTTACCACTTAGATTCTTTTGACATGTTGGGTTAGTAAAATGAACAGAGCATCCGCAACAACATTTTGCTTGTGTGGTTTATGCAAGGCGGTGGCTGCCTCTTGCTGGAAGGAAATCAAGATCATTCATTGAGCTAAGAGATATTGTGTCTTACTCCTTCCTAACGTAAATATATAATGATGGTTTGGCAGCTCTGAAAAGGTGCCATGTAGTAAAGAATAAGACGTAAAAACATGATAGACATGCTTCTGCCGCTGCTGAGGTCCTCAATATATGGAGTTATTGTGAGAGGGAAGGGAAACTCCTCCTCCATGTCTTTCAGTCAGTACCAGCAAATTCCCTAGTAATTTGCTTGCTTTAAATATCTTAAGACACGTTGAGATCTGTTCAGTTAGGTGCAGATCTTGCAAGTTCACCACAAAGCAGAATTTTCTATTACT